TCAAATTCATAATAAACAATGATGGTGTGTGATGTTACTCACGAGTCATTGTCAATTTAGGTATCAAGTGTGCGCCTGGAAAAACGAACGGATAGAGGAAACCGACAAATCCGACGATCGCGCACACCAAATTATATTTAATAATAATATCGTCGTCGTTATTAATATGTGTTGTTATTATAGGAACTGCACCGCGTGCGCCGATCGTGTGTGCGCGACGACTGAACCCTAACGACGGTGGTCGCAATGTGCACAGCTCAATAACACTGTGTGCAGCACACATTATTGTACGTACGATATTACGATAGTCGTGCTCGATACTATTCGACTCGCGGTGTATAACAATAATAATATAATAATAATAATAACACTATTATTTACATACGACGCCGACGTGATGATTTGGCGACGATCGCGCTATCATTATTATTATTATCATTTATCATCATTATTGTTGTTGTTGTATCGCGACCACCTTTCGCGGTGTAGGTGGCGCCACGGTCGCGGCACGTTCCCGACCTACCTGCACTCTTTCGTGGGCTATACACCACGGTTGAGCGTGAAACTTTGACATTTTTTACGACGCGTTTGAGCAAATCTGTCGGTGTACCAAATGACGCAGAAGAACAAAACAAAACCTACACGATTGAGCATCATAAGAAACTCTGCGATGTTGTCATTTTCAGTTTTGAACCATATTGTACAAACAATTATTTCTTTAAACTTTAGACAATATAACAGTTAAAAATATAATATAGTTCGAATTGATGAGTTTCCGATAAAAACGTCGTTATAATTTATTATATTCATATCCCTATAAAAAAAATAGACCGAAACTTTTTTAACGCACTAAGCGACACGACTTATATAAGATTTAGGTAGCTAGGTGATCGAACACTATACATAAACTGAATTATTTCTATAGTAATTTTTTAACTGTTGCTTATCTCATATTTTCTCCCCGTAATGCTAAATGTTTAAGACATCGCATCTATAACGGTCAATATATTCTTATAGATAAATCTAATATTTATCGCTCCAGAACTAATTTACTAATCAATAACACCGTCGATAAGGCTAAACTCGACTCACTGGCCGTGGCTCGTTTGAGTTAGGTATCAAAAATAAATTAATGTAATAACGCCTATAAAAATAATAGATTATAATATTTCGGCAATGTAGATGATGTTGGCAACGTTGCATAAAACATTTCATGCTCAATCGTATCGCTAAAAAAAGGCCTATTAAGCTCTTTCGTGTTACGCTCAATCGTGCTTTATTACTTTTTTTTATAGACAGTGAAATAATTTTACATAGCTCGAGTGTACCAGCGCCGGCGAAAGATTTAAAGGGGCCTTGACGGATTTTTAGTTGGGCCTTAGACATTTTTTTTTGTGATGGAGTCAAAATTTGTTTTAACGCCCAAAGTATTGGTATGGTATTTTTTATATTTCACATAGCTTATATGTTAGAACAATATTTTTTTCACGCAAACGATTTGCAAATTATTTTTTAGTTGAAAATCCATAAATATTTTTTCTCTTGGTAAATATTATTAAAAAATTGAATAAACAATTCACCGTGAGTTTTTTTTTTTATCCTAACTGAGATTGAATTTAAAATGTGTACGATGTTGAATATTCAACAGTATATAATTTTAATACATTCCCATTAATCGGTTTTTGGGTATATTGAATAAGTCCGTCGTCATCGTAAGTCTCGTCGGGACACCTAAAATTGCGTGACAGCTGCCCTTTCTGCCCTGCCCTTCCGCCGGTGCTGGTGCGTAAATAATTATTAATTACGATGGTAATTCGTAAAAGTATTTAGATAATATATACGAACAGGCGGTTATAACGACCACGTGTTTGCTAGTCTGCTGTGTACACTCAACACTGTTGCAGTGGCTTATATGTACGTATTATAGTCGGCAGCATTAATTTCAATATTGTAATATAACTACGTTACCGCGGTAATCTAATTTTCCCAAACAAAATCATTGTTATGAAGCGACGAAAATATTAACAATATTGTTATCATGAGTTCAACGCCCGTCCGTGTCGCGTGATGCAAAGCCAATACATTTGCACACGACTACGTGTATGTGAGTCTCGAGTGTACGTTTGAGATCCTCTTTCGAATAATACACACACACAAATAACACGAAGATTTTTCGCGTGTCGGTACATATGTGAAAAAAATAAATCGAAAAAAATAAATCGTCTATAGCAAAAAAAATCTCGGCCACCTAAAATCTCAAACAAGATTTACGCCCCTTTTAAATATTATTGATTTAAAATACGAAATGGTTGACGGGGCAGTACTGCAGTAGCCTCCGTAGTTTAATTAACCATAATCGTCCGTGATTTAAAAGAAATTCGAATCATCGTTAATCTCACGGTGAAAGTGTAGRCCCCATGTAAGGATAACAACAATAATGAATACTTCCTATTTTAGTACCTATTTCCTGTATACTCGTTCGTTTTAAAAGGACGCTATACCCGCATGTGTTGTCTCCGTCTTACAAGTGCGTAATATGGCAAATTTTACACTCGGCAGATCTYGTTTAGCTCGGTGAGTTTAATATTTTAAGTGAATTAACCTCTTATAAAAATTAAAGGTAACATTATTATCAAGAGCTTCTCRTAGGCTTTTAAATATATTTTAATTTTAAAGCGAGTTATGAGTATTTTAAAATTGTAAATTGTTTATCTGAAAATACACATAATTCGCTTCAGAATTAAAATATAGTAAAAAACCTACGAGAAGTTCTTAATAATAATATTAGCTTTAATTTTTATAAGGCGTCAATTCACTCTAAATGTTAAGGTCACGGAGCTAAGCGTGATTTGTTGAGTGTAAAATTTGGTATGTAACGCACTTGTAAGACGGAGACAACACATGCGGGCATGGCGTCCTTTTAATATTTATGTAGATACCAGTAAATAGTAGGTATAATATTGTATTTTAATTATTTTAATTTAAAAGCGATGGTCCGGCGCACTATCCGATTATTACTGAGTGTGAATAGTTCGAAATGTTTAGAAATTCTTTAGCAAATTAAAATGTGTATAAAAGATTATAAAAAAAAAAAAAATAGAAAGTAAGTAGGTAACTATTCTGTAAATAGGAGTCGAGTGTTACTGTAATTTAACAGTGTCTTTTGTTTTTGAATAACAACAAAATGCGTAAATTGATCTCGTCAAAAACTAGAATTTCGTAATAATTCCTGCGTTTTTCATAATTTTATTTTTTATTTTTCCCAATTATTTTGAAAAGTACCAATTGTGGGAATAATATTAACATAAAGAGTTCCTTGCATAAATTATAAAATCTAGAACGAATGAACAATTTGAGCATATTATACACAATATACACTTATAGTTAACTGCAGTTTGTAGTAATACGGCAGAGAAATTCCTAATCTTCATATCATAATACAATTTATTAATACCTATGAATTATGTCGCAAGAGAATAATGTTAACTGTTATCACTTCTCGCATACATTCAAAAGTGAATGTGATCACCTAATAARCTGACCTTATTGAATGAAGATTATTTATTTTTTTAAATTTAGTGAACGCAAATTCATTAGTTACGTTGTGAAAGTGAACAGAACACGTTCGTTTTCAAAATTGTTCTCCCAAACCTGAATATATGGGTCAAATTCACACTACATAATGACACCTCTAGGTTACTYAAATACCTATARCGAAGCGCTCCCAAATAATGATAGATGTTTTCTTAAATTCGTACATTAACGAATTTATAATTAAAAATTAAAAATATGATAAATTTACATATCTTCATAATCATTAATTTCATCAATAGTAATATCTGTAACTTATTAACTTACGTTAGGTGTTCATGTTCACGAATACTACTGCAGCATACTTATATATACTCACTACAACATGCAATCTGCAGTTTGTCTATAATTATAATTATAATATCCATATAAAATCAACACAGCAATCAAGTCGCAAATGCGCTCATAACTCTTCGACCCTAGCGCCGTAGCAATAGGAGAGTAAGTAAATAGTGTGTTTAATTATGGCTTACTAATTATTCTAATTGTTAAATATTCTTATTATCTTATCAATAAATTTGATGA